AGAAGACGCGCTATGTTTGGCGTAATAAGGTGCTCAAGGCACCTCAGGAAGTCGACCCCTGGTTCTCGGACACGCCCACCACCGCCAAATAGGAAGAATGGAACTTCAACTTACTCGAAGTAAACCCTTCACGCAATCGTTGCATTTTCTTTTCCAAGCGTTTTTTTGTGCGGGTCATTGAAGAAGCCAACTGCCTATACGATCGGCTCGTTGCATGATGCCAGTGTTGCACTTCATTCCAGCGAACTGTATGGTTAGCGGTGAATTCTCCTCTAACGGGAGGCAATGGGCGAAAAGAGGGCGCTAACTTAGTTGGACGAGAGGGGGGCACCCGCGACCACCTCTACTGTTCGTGAACCATGCGGCTTAGTCATGAGGAGGCATTAGGCCGATGTCATGTTTGCGAATAGAGCGATTCGCTAGCGATCGCTGGATCGAAGCGTTGCGCGCAGCGAAATCGAACGTTGCACTAGCGAAATCCGAACTTTGCGTCAGCGAGCTCGAACGATGTACCAGCGACTCAAATAGTGGCGGAACCACCTTTAAAAAGGAAAGCCCCCCTTTCAAACCATGTCCACTGCCAAAGTCTCGCACTTTCAAACAGCGTCCACTGTCACGGACACAGTTTGAAAAGTGACGGGCTTCCTGCAAAAGTTGGTCCCCGCCACCAACTGAGTCGCTGGTACATCGTTCGACTCGCTGGCGCAAAGATCGATTCGCTGGTGCAACGTTCGATTCGCTGGTATGACATCGGCCTTACATTGTTTAGCCGCATCGGTAACATTTCGACATACAGCAGCATTGGGCGACCGAGCTTGCAGAGCCCGCCGCACCACTGCGCGGTCCATACCCACTAATGTTAGCACCGCAAAGGAGCTTGGTTATTCGGACCCTTTCAACCACTCTGGTTTTACACACAGGCACCGCTTCGCGTCACTACTTTACACTTCATGATATATGTTATGTGCGAAATTGTCTTCAAAACTGTTGGAGACGACCCAAAACGATCTTCCTGACTGAACAGCTACTACTATATTTACTTGATTACAGATTCCAGGGCTTTTGTTGAACGAACAAAATTTACAAAATCGTTTGGGATCCACAACATTATATTCTCTATCATTAGAATTTCAATGGAATTAACTAATTCTCGAGAGTTGCGTTTCTTGATCGTTCACGTAAATGCCTTTTAAAGCTATGTTCTGCACATCAGCACTATCATGTTTAATTTGGCGCCAAAAAAAATAAATAAATTCAACACCTAGAGAATGACCAGTGTCCTTTTTAGGCAAACCCTAACCATAAAACCTTATGTCCCCAATTTAATGATAAACCAATGTGAAAATGCCCGTATTGGGAAAGACAATTTTAACATTTGATACAAGGCGTTAGTTTAGCGCGAGAATAAAAGTAAGTGAAGTGAAGAGAAGGAGAAAATGATGTTAGAATGTTTCTAATCTCCCAAATAACCGAGCTTTTGGGCGCTGCGCATCCAGAGTAAATGTTCGAGATTAGGAATATAAGAGACGCAGAGCGCCTCAACAAGGCCTAAAAGCACTTGAAAATGATGAAACTCGATGTATTACGACAGAGACATCACAGATTCAACACAGCTAATTAACCTGTGGCGGTTAATCTCCAAAGGATCAGCACGCTGCTGCTCTCCCTACCACCAACTTCAGTGTGCCGATAGCACAGTGAGTTCTATCGGTTCAGGTGCGATTGTGGTCTTAGACAGCCATAAATGATAAAGGGTAAAAGCATTTCCGTTGATCAATTCCCTTTTTGGGATAAGCGACACGCATTCTAACTTCCATTTGTACATTCGTAGTGGGCGGCCGAGATTCAAGTCAGGTTTATCCTCTCCAGACAAGTCTGGTACCATTTAACCGACGCCGAAGATACTTCGGTTGGCGCCCGGCCGACTCTGGCTCGGATTGCATCCCAGACCGCTCGCGTGTTAAGCAGTGCCACTTTCCACCTCAACCACTGCCGCGCTTAGGACACACAAAGTCATTTCATCCTATCAAGTCCCGCAATTTATGAGGCGGTTTTGTGGTGAAATTAAAGCACTGAGAGAATTATAATACTTCAGTGCAAACTGAAGGACACATCCATCGCCTTGCTGATCTCAGACTGACGCAACGAGCTTCGTTGCCACGCGCTAAGTTCAAACGTTAACGGTTATACACGCACAGGGTCCAAGGCAGGTTTTCGACTAAATTGGTCAGTGTATAGGCCCGGTCAAACATGCCGCGCAGTCTCAACTAAAGTTATAGGAAAATGGTCTTTGAAGTTCAAACCTACTTTGAAATGCGTACATGGAAGGGGTCGAAGTCCCCTTGGATGGGGCGGATACCATAATATGAGGCGGATCGGCCCAAGCATACGCTGCGCAAGAGCTGCGATGCATCGACTAGCGGGTCTGTTGCGGGACCGCCGCGCTGTATAATGTTGATTCTATAAGATACCCAACTAACGCGCATAACAATTAAGATTGCTGGCAAATAGCCATGTATTCGCAAGCAGCATGCTAATTTGGCCAGCAGTTCGCTAATAGGAGCGCATGTACATTCGATCAAGGTTCGAGTAACAACTCCGTCCAACACACGGTTCTCTAAACGGCAGGAGTCCGTCTAACCCCTGCCCGAAGCTTCTTTTCTTAGCTTTTCTTTCCAATTGAGCCACTTACTCACACATGCAAACGGTCATTAAAGGTAACCTTACCAGTGGAATTCGTTCCTGGTTGTTGCTTAAACTTTTATTCATGTTCAATTGTTCTTTCTGGTGACTCAATTAGTTGAACAAATCTCATCATAATGAGATGCAAATCAAGTTTGGTGAATCAGTAATAAATGACTGGAAAAAATGACGAATCCTTGAAGTTGCTCAAGCAATTCTAAAATGTATAAAAGAGATATTCTGCGAAAGAATTATCCTATTCTCAAAGCCCAATTTGATAACCTGCTTGGCGGCTGATGTCGGCGAACGACTTCAGAAGCGTCATTCTGGCAGACTGTGCTGGAAATGTGCAGTAGAGAGACACAGATCAAAAAGTGAATTTTCTCACCCCTTCTTCAATTCCTCGGATGATTCGTGGATCTCTTCTTCGGCTAGCAACTGCGAGCGTAACCAGGCGGGACAAGGGACACAAGCCTGAGATTTCTCTCTTATCCCCTTGTTTAACGAGATTCAATGGGCTATTGAACTTACCGCGCCTGCGTCTGGAGAGAAGAACTGACGCTTTTGACGAATATGCTGCTCTTCGTGCTCCTTGAGAGCCTGCTTATGAGCTGCAACTTCCTAGAATTCACTGGCATCAGAGCTTTACCCTTTTTTGGCAATTCGTCATTGCGATATTCTTCAGCCTTTGCTTGATATTTTTCAAATATTGATTGCACACAAGCGTTTGCACACGCTAACCTTATGATATTGCTCTATCCTTTCTGCATGTCGCTTTCGTCGCTTTTTCTGTGCAAGTACACATGCCGGGAATTTCATGCAGCCACCAGAACCACCTAAATGTACCTTTTTGTTGATGGTTTTATTTATCGAGCGTACAACACAAAAAGAAGGTGAAAATAGAATTGTCTTTTCTGGGGCAGGAAGACGACATATCGAAAATGACTGCGTGCGGTCGCGTCGCACTCACATGAAAGTGGATGCCTGCTCAGGATATCGGTGTATATGCGGTCTCGAGCAATTGGGTTCTGGAAGCGCTTTGCCACTTTACATGGGCAACATCGGAATCAGTTCATATGCATATTGAGGCCGCCGCGCGACCGCACGCGAACGCACTTGCTACTTGCGTGAAGTGAAACGAAAGTCGCAGTAGTGACACTCTTGCAGGGATCGGAATTATATGAAACGAGGAGTTACAGTTGGGCCTCAGCTCAATGAAAAATATAATATAAAAAGTGAAAAAGATAGAAAAGAATAAATACTGAAATAAAACTAGAATAAAAGTGAAAAAAGCCACTAACTGAGCGAACCTCCTTCTCCCATAGTCTTACTGAGTAGTTTGACAATGTCGAGAATTCCCGAAGGATTGTACGCTTGCCGTTTCATTCTGGTCACAAGGAACTCGTCCACTTCACATTCGGGACCCGTGGCACGTTTTTCACGTCGTAGACACTTCTGAAATAAGATGCTCGGTAATGAGCTTGCCGCCAGCATTCTTGCCGTCATGGCTTCGATTCAATTTTGGTCTTCGACATAATTTTCGCTACGCTCAAAATAAAGAAATAGGTCAGGATGAGAGCCAGCGCGCACGTAGCGTAGCCCGCGCGGAAGTCTAGTTCTAGCGCGGCGCTCCAGTCCTCGAGTACTAACCTCACTCCCACCTTTACAGATACCACCTAGGATTTTGCAGAGAGTCTCTAAAAATTGCGAAAAAGCCATTATATCATGTACCACAGGATTGCTTAGGAATTTTTTGAGGAGAATTCCACGATAGGTTCGGGGGTTGTAGAGGGGAAACGTTTCTGGAAGAGCAGGGGTCCCTGAAAAGGCAAGACGATGCGCTTCCTACAGTGAATGATATGCCTCTGGCGGCCTAGCAGAGCCATACCGGCGACGCTCGCAATGCTAATCCCCTTGCTGTCAGACTCTGGCCATGGATGCTAGCAGTGGCAGGGGCGCAGAGCAGAGCGTCAACGTCAAAGACGAGTTTCTGCAGCCTATCGGAAATCTAGTCAGAGATAGTCGCTGATACATGACAGAAGGAAAAGCCGAGAAAAATGGCCTAGACCTGAGAAATGGGACCCTTACTCGCCCGTTGATTTGTGCGTTGATGCAACTCTCATCGATGCTGCCCTCTTCAACGCGAACGCTCTCTCTCTCTCTGCTGAACGGATAGAGGCACAGACACGAGACAACGCAGGAGGGGGAGGTATCGCGCCAACACTGCGCCAACCGCGGGAAAGGCCAGTTACATCGCCGAACGGATGATCCTTGATGCGAATTGCGTGTCGTCCACACCCTCAGTGGGCCCACCCGTCTCTCCCTAGGTAAGATTCCCTTTCCTCGGAATTTGTTCTTATCGTGGGATCTTCCTTTGACGACGTCTCCAGCTATAAGAGTCGGGCCAATGAGGAAACAAAGTACGAAAAAGTGATCAATTTTTTCGGAGCTCCGTTTTAGTCGTCTTTTCTTCGTCCCTACACCACAGACCACCTCTGAGGTCAC